AGAAGGCCAACTGTATTGCGCGATTCGGCCTTTCCTATTTCCTTGTCCTGTTTGGGAGCTATATGAGCAATCCTGACCGAGATATGTTAGTTCCGCCCCCTTAGGAATGCGGTTTGTTTGCAGGCTGGTATTGTCTTAGGCCTTTTAATGATTGCGCAAGAATTCTTGTCTGCCAAACAAGGGATTTTATTTCAGGTTTGCAGTTTGAATGCGTTTTTGGGCTTTAGACAGGACATTAAGGAAAATAGCTAGCACTATCGGTTTCACCGTAACCTCCTTAAGAACGATTGATGTCAACGGATGTGTAATTTTCTGAAGGATCTGAAAAAACAGAATATGACTTAATGACGTCTGAAAGACGAGAAACTTAGGAAAAACCATGGTTGGTCCTGTTGAGTTACGCACTAAACACCTAGCGCTCCTGACCTTGTTGATCTAACTTAGCCTTGTCTTATTAAGTGTCATTTTGGCATAGTTTTGGTGTCCGTACCCCTGATTCCAAAGGCTAACACGAGCTTTTGCCGCCTCAAACCTAATGTTTTCGAAGGCAATCTTTATGCTAGTCTGATCTAATAGTACCTTGAGTTCCGTTAACTGAGTAACCGCACGACCATCTTAACGGAGTCGGATGTAGTCAGGACGCAGGTCATTTCGCTAAGTAGCGGCAGGCTCTTTCTGACCGTCGGCGCATGAGAGATCCGCTACGCATCGTCGCAGCAACTCATCTCAATCCGACGCATGACGATTCACCTAATGTCTATTTCTGGAAGGTTTTTATCCGACAGGCCAAGTCGGTGTTGTTGATTTCCATAAAAATTAAGGGGGAGGGGTGCGACTGAATAAAACGCGATAACGCATTTACGTCCGCAAAATGTGTTAAAGTGGAACTATCATCCTAGCGAAAACTGTTTCATAACGCACAGAACAGCCGTTAGTTGTGACTGTTAATGTATCAGTTTTTTGAGCAGACGGCCGGCGTAGCATGTCGCTTTTTATGAATTTTGCCGTAGTACTACTGATGTTTGCTTCAGTTTGCTTTTTGGGAGTCTTGCGCAACATTTTTAGAAGGGGCACCTAGTAACTAACAATACTGTTCTTTGCTATCGGCGTTTTAAGGTAAACCAATGGGAAATAACACGTACTTCGTCTTTGAACTGTTTCTTTAGGTCCGTTGCTTCCGTTTTTTCCAACTTTGACTTCTACGGCCCTTGACGAGTCAACTCTGAAAGAGAGAGCGGCTCAAACTGCTATGGACGACTGCTTTGCAATGAAGTCCTACTCCCCAGTTATTGCGGCTTATCAGCTATAGCTTACTGACAAGTTGCTTCATTCGATTTCTCGGGGAAGACTGAGGAAATATACTTGTTTTTAGAATTCAAGCAACCTGAGTATGTAGGACATAAGTGCGTCTTTTTTCTAAAATATAATCACAAGAACGTTTAGTTACGGCATATTCTTCTAATGTTTACACTGCACAAACTGACTCACTTACGAATGACTTGAAATAACGGATAGTTTCAATGAAACTGTGATCAGTTCCTCACACTGAAATGATAATAAAAACGATGGGATGGGCTTCGAGCACCTTTCCTGACGTAGTGCAAGTCGGTGTCCACCCGATGTTGTGGATGCTTATCCCTTGCCGTGGCCGAACTAAGCCCCGTAAACTTTATTAACCTCGTTGCATAGAACATAGAAAAACCTGTGTTGTACGCCTTATCATACTTGACAACAAAGACACCAGCCAAAAGCCCAAACACGTTTTTAGCAGACATTCTGCTACTTCAAGGCACAACTGCCAGGATGTTCGGCTCATCAGTGGGTCTCCTAGCGTGCCGTGCGTGTTTTCTGGCAGATACTCCTATAAGACGTGCTGTAAATAAGGTACATCATGATCGTTCATGCTGTACTAGGATTTTGTAGCCCACACCTTGTGCCCTAAGGCCGTTTTGACAGCCATACGCAACAATACATAAGTCGTATCGGCCGTTGTGGGCAAAACGCCCGGTCCGGACAGTAGCTTGTTTAATCCAGGAAAGGACCTAAACGATGGTGTTTGTCTTTGAAGCTTTGTTAGATTGAGTAAACACTGTTTTTCACGCAACTTCGACATGTGCAACTCAGTAGTCGGTAGACTAAAAGGGTTGGATTCAGTTGCTATGTCACCATATACACATAGTTATTGGCCACTTCGGTATCTAGTACAAGTGATTGTGTTCAGTTCGATGCGATTGCTGTAGAGCCAGCCATGGTTAATCAACCTAAACCTAGGCTTACGCAACTGGCGAGTGGCAGCAGTAATGAGGTTGCGGCTAAATCTAACCATACCTAAGGAGATTAGAGAAACAACCGCTGAAGACCTACACTAGCACTATCATTCTTGGCCATTGCTTCCTGAGGTGAGGAGCAACCGCATTCTTTGGTATCCGGCTTATTCTACGGCAACATACCTTATGATATGTTAGCGTCCACATCTAAACCTGCATAGTTTAGGATAGTTGAGAAACAATATCTGCGGACCAACCCTACTATTATTAACATTGACATCCGGAGACACAGCTGAGGACCGACCGCTATGGTGCATTTGCCACATAAACTATTCTAGACAGCTGTTTTGGGTAGGCGGATTTTTTTTGGATGCCATCTCCCAGTTGTTACCAAGTGTGTTGGTTACTCAGTCTTCGAACTATGCTCTAGTCGGGTGCTCATGTAATCATTCAACTTCAGTGAGTACCTCTGATCATCTTTTCGCTGCCACATGAGCTTCCCTAGACGCCGCTTAATGCGCACTGGCCTGATAGCTGTCCGCTGGGGCATGTCACGCGGGGTAGTGAATTGAGGTCAATACGTTTTGCGTGCTTTCACTCCCGTACCCCCAGAGTAATTCTCATTATCTTTGAAGAGACAGTACTAACACCACAGACTCATCGCGTCCAATAACGACTTTGTCTGCCTGGGCGATTTTTCTAAACGCCCAATTTTGCTTTTTAGAAAGGATGAATGTTTCAGTTCAGGTCCACGGTGAAAGCGCGTATGTCTGCCGAAGGGCCCAGTTGACACAGTTTTGACAATGACTTAGAGCGGTGTTTCGTATGGGTAAGTACTTTTTATCCAGCTCGATTAAGTTTTCCGGTACAGTGGATCTACACGCGTTGTTAAATTGTGCATCCTACATTTCGCATACATTGTTCTCCTCAGATGACGGATCCTTTCTTCAACTGTTATATCAGAATAAAAAAGAGTTACCTGAGGTTTGGCTGGTGTCGATATTGATTTGTTCATTCAGTCCCACTCTCTATGGTCGGGAGATTTTTGAATTTCCAGACTGGACATTACAGTCCTGACTTCCTTATTGTTAAGACCGTTTTCTCTTCAAAATTACCAAAATTCACGGCCACACATTTTAATCAAAGTTCTAACGTTTATAAGTCTTCCTCGGGGTGTCGGGAACTCCCGAAAAAAAGGAACTTTCCCGTTAGTTGTGGGCTAGCCGACACCTTTATGGACGGCAGGTAGTTGAGGGGCCTTCAACGAAGGTTACCTCCGAAGTGAGTAGGCTCTGGGATGTGGCAACTATAGAGATGTGGACTGTGAAGTGATGGGACATTCGGACATGACCGTAAACTAACGTGATCCGTAAAAGGTCACAAACGGGAACTGATTTACGACATCATAAATACTGCCCTTCGGCCCATAAGAATTCGCTCACCAAACAATTCCGAGGAGGTGGAGACTTTCAGACCAAACTACAAATCTGGAGGCTCTGCGAAGTTTTTTGCCTACGAAACTGTCAGGCAACCGCCGCCCGGCAATCCATGATACGACCAGGTTTTGGCGATCGGATGACCGTATGTTCTAGTAGTAAAAACCTGCGCTTTCAAATTCAGTGGCTATCTTTTCGCCAATAAGCCAACGCCGTCCTGCAGGATGGGGACTTTTTTAATCTTCCAAATAGCCCTCTTACTAGGCAAAGCGGAGCCAGTTCCGGTTCAGTTCAGTTTTGTTACGGGAAGGTAGGCCAACGCCGCTGAACACCCTTTTGGTTACAGTAACTTCGAAAAAAAAACAAATACGCAACGGAAGTTGGAAAGATGAATGGCCACATAGTTACATGCAACGAGCCCGCAACTATCTAGTAAGTGCTAGTAGGTGGTGCGTCAACGTTGTGAAACTACCAAAACGCATTGCCAAATTGAGACGAGTAGTTTGAAAACGAACGCAAAATTTAATCATGATTCGTCTGGCCACGCGTCGTCTGATGGGGGTATTTAACAAAACAGTAGTAAAATAATGTTATTGGAACATGGGGAGAAGTATACTAAATAGCACATAACTTTGTGGGATAATGATACAAGGGGAGAAATTCGCAAACTTCTGATGCTGTGGTGGTACAAATCCCTGTACTGGTCAAGCATTCTTTCAAGGCTTTCGACGGATGGGAACGTGATGCTGTGGCGGCTTTCACAGACTTAATTACTCTGTGGCTGAGGAGTAATCTTCTTTCGTTTAGTCATGTCCTGGTCACGTAGTTTGAGAGGATGGCATTTCAAGCTAACAGTGGTGGCCGACCCAATTATGTCGCCGGAAGCGAGGCAGCAATACTGACCTCGCAACATAGGAAACGCTTGAATTAAGTCGTCATGTAGCTGCCTGCAGTCTAGGGGAAAAAGGTCAAGGTTGGCCAGTCGAGTTTCATAAGACAGGTTGCTTTGGCATCTGGCGAGCTTGATTGCTTGCCGTTGACCTTTTCTTCAGGGTGCTGCGGTCTTTGACAGTCCATGGTTTCTAAGCCTGAATGGCAAATCTCAACTGTGGTCGCACGAATCCCCCAAAGACCTTTGCAGAGCACACTTCGACGTACTTCGAAAATGCCCGCTTGATGAGATATAAGTTTGACATCGCAGACTTAACAGTGGAATAACGACTTTAGTTAGGTCGTGATCACGCACCTAGATCCTTCTGAGCCTTTACCTCTGGTAGCGGGGTGTGGTTCAAATAGTTCATTTTCCGGCGCTCGGAGGTGGTGCTCCCGATCGCAGAATGTTGCATTTGGCAACGTTGAACGGGAGGAGCCACTGATTTGACCATTGCTTGGGTCTATCTTTGTCTGCCGGTATCTTTGCCCCATCATCATCATCATCATCGTTGCGGATGACGTTCCAAAGCTTTCTGTAGTCGGCAAACATGGTAATCTCACAGTCTAACCCACGGATGTAGTCATCAATATTCATGAGGAAGAGGATAGGGCCACGAACGGAGTCCTTAGTAACTTTATTCCCAACCGACGCCGCCGATCGCTGGTCACCAAGACGGACAATCTGAGATCGACCAATCAAGAAGTCTTCGATCCACTCCGAAAGTTTGCCTCTTACCCGCATCCGACTGAAATTGTTTCGAAACGTTGGCTGGGCACACTATCCAAGACCTTGGGGTCAATTTGGGCTACGTGCACTACACTTCATCTAATCGCTCGGGTTGAACATTCTAGATAGTAGAGGAAAGTGGCTAAGCAGGACCTTCTGCGGAATCCATATTGCGCATCGGAAAGAAGACGATGTTGCTCTAAAAACTACACCATAGTGTTGCAACATATGGAGGTAAGTTTTACTGGTCGGTAGTTGTTTACGGAAGCAGGACTCACTTTTACATATCGGTGAAATTCGCACAGTCTTCCACTCAGGGGGGTGGGGGCAGTCTGTCCGCATCGAGGGAAACTTAGAAGAGAAGACAGGGGTTCCGCCCGTTCTACGGCCAACGCCTTCAAGAACTTTGCCAGTTGTGACCCCTTTAAATAATTCCAGATAATGAAAGCCAGATAACGATTACGCTTAAAGGAATTTCTTTCTAGGGAAGCGTCGAAGCACAGCTCGACATTGCCAGTGGATAGGATATTTCTCTGAGAAACATTTGTTTTCGAAGACTTACTATGTCGAGTGATTGTATGTATCCACTTGGTACCCAAGAGAGTTGGCGCTGTTTCGTCGGACCTGAGCCATGTTAACCAGGTCTGTGGCAAACTATAAGCCAGAGCGTACTGCTGATCAACCAGTATGGCCTATCTCAGACCGGCTTGAATAAGTACTTCGCCTGGTCCACAATAGGCGGGTGAAGGGGCCATCCCCGCTTGTCCTTCTCGCATTTCATCTACCGCAATTTTGTCCAATCCCAGCTCTCTGAAGGGACGATTGGATTATTGACTACTGGCATGATAAATCCATCCGGGCGAGTGAAACGTAGCTGATGTGGTGTCGAATTCCCAGTAAGCGGAGGCACGCGCGGTCGGCAGCTTTAGGTCATGTCGGCTGCAGTTACGAAATTATTCGTTACTGGGATATATTGCAAATGTGGCCCTTCTCTCTACAACTCAGTTCATGAGAACGAATACTCCCAGCTCTGATAGATTTTGGTAGATAGACTATCGAAATTCGGTTCATCTTACTTAAGCGTGCTTAAGATTTGTTTTACATCTGTAGCGTACGTTGGCGTCAGGTTATCTATTCTCGCCCATTCTCATCCTTGTCTTTATTTTTTCTTCCGGTTCTTCCTCCGAAGTGTTAATTTGCCAGTTGCCATTTCAACCGTCGAATAAAATGCACCCCGCTTGCCTGCTAGCTGAGACCTCATACACACTTATTTCTCTACTTGATATTACGCATCGTTTTTTGCCCTTACTCTGATGACTTTTCTTCTAATAGCGGACTTGATATTTTATCAACGGTATTTACATTAGACACGACAAGATTCTTATTTTTCGACCATTTTTTAACACGGTGCAGTTTGTACGGATTTATTTTTCCACTGGGAATTCGGCACACACACAGGTGTGACAGGATTTCCACCATATTTCCGACAAATGTATTGACTAAACGCCTAGACTTGTGTTTTCTTAGCGTGTCTGCTGCTGCATGACCGAAATGCTCGGGAAATCGGCTACTCGGCGGGTCAGCCAACGTCTTCTAGTGGGTTACTGTGTATGAACTGTGGATGCGAATATTAAGCTATTTATTTCGAAAATTGAGATGGTGCTTGTGACTCCGTGTTATGGCATTAAACTGCTTAACAATCAGGACGCGTGTCCGAATCTCGGGTTGCATACAGCAGGCTTATGGCGTCAAATAGGCCAGAAATGGCCTTTCCCACTCTTCGTTTGATCATTTTACCTGTACCGCTAGCTGCTATGTGGCTGCTTGCATGTCTGATGACAGAACTCCAAAGCCAAACAGCACGACTACATCTTATAAGCCGATCGGTGTGTGCCCCACCCCCTAAGGCAGTGGAGACCACCGCTGATGTATTCACATAAATTGCAAAACGCTATTGCAAGGCGCGGTGCTAGGAATGTACCACGTCGTAATGGCTAGCGAACTAACTACAGTACACGCTGAGTGCCCATCCTGCTGATAGCCGGGTTCTTGCGGCCTATAATCTACCTTACGTTGTCGTTAACACTAGCAGTCCCCCTACCGATTTGATATGGTGTCTGTAAGGTGGGACGCGGCGGTCGCAATGGTCGCTTGTGTACAATGTGGACACCAAGGTCTAAACCTTCTCAATTAGTCATTTTACAGGTCCTCCTTACATGTAATAGCCCACCATCAGGACATCCTAGGATGAAGGATTGAGTTGGGCGTCATAAGGCGTTTCATTCAGAAAACAGGATCACGTAGGAACATGATATCAGTATCTTCTAAAATCTCCGGCTGTTCTAAAAGTCCAAAGCCAGCGTGGATACCGTCGAGCATGGGGCTTAGTCCAAATATGCCCCAAATGGCCAGCGTTCTGTAGTCGTGTTCTCGCACGAGATGCGAGCACCTCTTACGTGTCAGTCGGAAACCGGGTGGCGTCCAAATCAGAATATCGGGTTCCACGCGTGTGTGCAAACGTAAATCTGTCGTCCATTGATGCGAGTGGACTGTGCGTGCGTATGCGATTTTGAAGCTACTAGAACTGTGTCCTTATTCAGAAACTATTTACTGGACTCATGCAGGACACGAGGTGAGTGGCAAATTAAAAATCGCGGTGCTCGTACGAGGGTCTAGCAAAGCGACAATCTGTGTCGGGGCAATGCAAGTCTTGCCATTTGTTTGACGATTTCCGTTTTTGTGACGATGGAATGTGTAAGACTACTGAAGGGATAACATGTGGCAACGTATCTAACATATGGTCGTTACGTATTATTAAGTGCGAACAGTTGGCCGAGAGGTCATCTACCTACGCGCATTCCGTCGCCTTTGTTCAAATACTTTGGCAACATGAACCTACCGCCAAACGTCTCCGCACCAGAGGGACCACTGGTAACTGCGGTTATATTTGTAATAAGTACCACCACAACCTACCAACCGTCCGAGCTATCAACCTGCGGCCTCCGCCGTCTCCCGTCTTCTTGACTCTGTCTTGACACCGGGCTCGGGCGAGGGAGGAGGAGAGAGTGTAGGTAGATGCTACGCAAGTCTACCGGCACTATAAACCCCTGCGTAAGTCACCGTCCCTGCTCCCATTGCTGCTGCAACTGTGGGGCACACGGTGGACATCATCGAAACCGATGGTCGAACTGTCAAGTACCACCACAACCTACCAACCTCTGCCTTTATGTGCGATGCATTCAACTCGTACTCCCTCCTGAGACGACACAGATCGCACTTGTTATCACTGTGGTGTTTTCCCCGCGTTCTTTGCTGGCACTGTCAGTGTCCAGTCGTTACTTGCATGAACCTTGGTTGGGAGAAGAACATGCTCTAGTTCCAACCTAATGTGCAGTATCTGCACGAACAGCCCAGAGAGTCCCTGACAGAATTTACTCTATCGTCAATGAGGGAAGGACAGCCACTGGGACTGACAGAACGTCACCATGGTCAAGCCTGCTGGCCGTCTATAAACACCGAGCCTGCAGCTCTAAATAATGGATTGGATGAAAACTTATTTACCATCCTTTTGAAAGAACAGCGAGGGCTAACTAGTGTGAGATGTAGTGGAGTAAGGTAAAGTATGGGGAGGCCGCTGCACGAGGCATATGCTTGGCATTTAAGCCACATTACCGAGAAACTCGGTAATGAAGAGTACATAAACTAAGTAATACTCCAGCAGACGGCACCACAACGCAGGTGTCTCTGTCACCATTAACGCCACACGTCCAGACCGGAGCAGAGGAAAACTTTATTTCATTGAAGAGATTCAGCACTAGAACACCACTGACAAGTGCATGATTTCCTTAGACGTCGAATACTTATTTACTGATGTAACAATGGATGAAGCAATAAACGTTATAGGCGCTCATGCGTCCGAATCCCGACTATCCCCCAAAATACTACGCGGCCTGTTGGTACTTTGCACCAAAAATGTTCAATTTCTGTTTAATGGGGAACTCTACAGACAAATTGACGGAGTCGCAATGAGTAGTCCGCTCGGGCCAACCTTTGCCGGCGTTTTTATGAGTTACCTAGAAGAAAGGGTGTCATGAAAATTAAGCAGGACAGCATTATACAGTAGATACATGGATGATATATTCACTATTGTTGATAACAAGGGAGACGCCGCCGGCCCTACTTTGTGTGATGAATAATTTGCATCTGAAAATCAAATGGAGCAATGTAACAAGTTTCCCGTTCTAGACGTCGTCATGTTTAGAGAGGATGATGGTTCAATAAGACGCTCCGCAAGGTTAAGTGGGAAGAGCAATACTTACATTTTAAAAGCTTTGCGCCAATACGATGGGAAAGGGATCTGGTGCGCTCACATCGCGTGGCCCTGTACGGAAACAATGTCCGCCATCGATTTAGTCCCAGTTTAATTCAGTCTGTTGGCTCACTGACGATGATGACGTCGTGGCGTGTGTATGGATATACTATTTGCAGGTTTAGCTGCCAAGAGTAAAGGAGCTAACGGAGCCGGAACCTCCCAAGTTTACGAAACGCAATACTTCTGTCTGTGAAATTTCACATGGCGATCGCGGAATTGGTTGGGAAGGGCGATGAGGTAAGGTGCAGAGACGTTGTGGGAGGTTGTGTAATACAGGAATGCGCATGGGGCAGAAATACACTTGAACGTTTCATCATGTCTACAGTCGCCCCTCTAGGAAACTTTCTCTCCCTAACCCATCGCTGCCGAAGATTCTGAGGGTGAGTTGACGTATTGTAACTTTGCTAAGTAGCAAAAAACAGTCAAGCACTGGAAATTTACATAGTGGAAGCAGCCTCACTTTTACAACTTCATAATGCCTCTGTGATTGGATAGGGACGACGATAAAATGAAAGGTTAGAGTTGTGTGCAGCGATTTGACGATGAACGAGTGAAGAGCGTCACAGATTTACAATGACGACACCGCTGTTGGAGATGGCGGTAATGAGACAAAATCATAATCTGGGGGCACCGCGGCGTCGGC